ATGGCATGTTTCACTATCAATTTTGTCTTTTTTATGCACAGCTGAAATTGACATATTTCTGGAAAAAATTCTATTAGCATAGTCTGTAAATTCTACATAGAGGCAATTCTTAGAACTAATATTTATATGCAGTCATCAACTGCTAAGAATAATAATTTACTTGTAAATGCAAGATTATATTAATTTTATCTGTAATGGAATTCTTGTTCATCCCGAAATCATAGCAAATTATTAAAATTGCTTTGTGGGAAGTACAAAGTTAAGGAAATCAAATTCGTTTTACAAGGATATTTGATGTAATTAATTTTTAAAATATCTCTTGCTTTTTTAGTACCAGACTTTAGATGATTAAAAGAAAAACTTTATATAAAGAACTATTTTTCCCAGTTCTCCTTTCCTTGTCAGTTAATCCTCAAACCTAGAATATGCCCTTAAATTTTTATTCTACACCAACTGGCTGAATTATGTTGCATCTTATGCAGTCTTGTAGAGAATAAACTCAAATTAGACATTCTTTTGAAACAAATAAATACATAATTGTTGCTGTAGTGGACTGAATTATGTCCCCCTACAACTCGCTGAAGCTTGAATTGTGTCCCCCAAGTTTTATGTATTAGAAATTTGGCCCCCACTGTGACTGTTAAAAGGGTGGGAAATCCTGTTATGGTAATTGAAAGGTGGAGCCTTGAAGAGGTGATTGGATTGTCGGATCATGCTGCAATGAATGGATTAATAATGGTGGTCAGGGGCGTGGTTCTGAGGGCTTTGAAAGAAGAGAAGAGGAGAGTCTGTCTTGCTTTCTGCTCCACCATTTTCACAATGTGATCCTCCGCCATCACTGAAGCCACCACCAAAGAAAGCCTTCACCAGATGTGTTCCCTGGACTTTGGACCTCCAAGCCTCTAAAACTGTAAACAATAAATGTCATTTTCTTAGCAATTACCCAGTTCCGTGTATTTTGTTATAAGCAACAGAAACTGACTAATACAGTTGGTGAGCACTGTATTAGTCCGTTTCTGCTGCTTATCACAGAAAATCCTGAACTGGGTGATTTATAAGAAAATGAAATTTATCGCTTACAGTAAGTCCAAAGTCTACAGAATACAGCTGGTGAAGGTCTTGGTGATGACGACAGTGAGCCAGGGGTCTCACATGGCAGAAAATGGCAGAGCAGAGAGAGCAAACTTCTCATTCACTCTTTTTAAAACCCTCAGAACCACACCCACAACCACCATTATTAATCCATTCACTCCAACATGGTCCTGCAATCTAATCACCTCTTCAAGGCCCAGCCTTTCAATTACCTTAAAAGGATTTCCCACCTTCAAAGTTATAGTGAGGATTTAAGCTTCAGTGAGGTTGGGAGCAGCCAATCTACAGCAAGCACATTTGCCTATATATTTAGAACAATGAATATTTGTAATTGGGGCTGATCTTCAGGTAGTGCACACAATTATAGTGTAAGGGTTAGTCTGTTCTGATTGGTCAATGCCTGTGCCTTACAGGTTGTTAAATATTTTGTCAATTACCGCTGCTTGAGTGATAACTCTGGAGCTCCATGAAAATTCTACTTTAAATACCCTCTGAATCACCACAGAGAGATTAATTTATTCTCAGAGTAATATTTGCGTTAGTGTATGAAATTCTACATCTTTGAAACCTGGAAATTGAAGATCAGTAAGTGATCTATTAACCATCTTTGACTCCTGCCTTTCAGTCACAACCATATTTAATTCATCAATAAATCTTACTGCCTCTACCTTTGAAATATTTTTAGACTTAGCCCCCTTCTCACTGCATTCACTCTATTAGCACAGCCCAAGTCATATAGTCTCTCTCCTGGACAGTCGTAATAACCTTTTATTGGTTTCCCTGCTTCCAACCTTGTCTCCCGTAGTATAATCTCCAAACAGAATACAGAGTGATCCCCACCAAAAAAAAAAAAAAGAAAAGAAAAGAAAAAGTCCAGATTATACCATGTCTTAAAGGCCCTCTCTCCTTCTGCCCTGTCTCCTGGGTTCTCTGTCTGCTCTGGCCATCCTGGCCTCCAGCACACACCAGCCTTGCACAACCCTTACTGGAATATAATTTCCCTGTAGTCGGGAAGGTTTTTGTGTTTTGTTCGGTTCCCTCCTGGATCTTCAGCCCCAGGTATAGTCAACTATACCCGACACACAGAAATTGCTCAAAAAATAGTAGTTGAATGAGTGAATGAATCATTGCACAGTGTTTCCAGTCATTCCTTTTGAGTGAATTCTGGTTTAGAGATAGGAGGCTGAGTGTGTTTTTTAATTTCTTTTTGTTCTTCTTATCCAGAAGTATTCTTATACATGAAATATACATAACAAAAGTAATATAAATCATTTTGATTCTCTCCTTTAAAAACTTACAGTTAAAAGCAGATAAACTGACAAAGGACACCAACAGTATTAAACAAAATTAAGCCTATCAAGTATTAAAAAGAAATGAGATCAATATGAAAAAGAAACTATTTAATGTTACTGAAATCCATACACACACAAGCAGTCTAAATGGAAAGACACATCATATTCTTATGCACAAAGATTTTATATCACCCTTTTTGATAAATATAAATTTTATTGGAATTCCATCCAGATTTCCAATAGGGACTTTGTTTTGTTGGTTGACTGTATTGTTTTAAACTGGTCTGCCTCATCACCCAACCTAAAGTGTTCTTACACTGGTTACTCTACATCGTACCTCCTCATTTTACTTTGCTAGAACACTTACTACTTCCTAAAATTAGCTTCTTTGTTTTGTTGGTGGTGGTGGTGGTGATGGTGGTGTTTATGTTTTTATTGTCTGTCTCACCCGTTCTAGACTATAAGCTCCATGAGAGAAGGAACTTTTTCTATATTTGTGCCTGTTTTCTCAGCATGAGAATAATCCCTAGCACATATTAGGGATTACTAAGGGTAATAACTATATATGGAATGAATAAAGAAATGTTCAAAACTTACCCCCCAAATATTTATATATAAAAATAGAATACTAGTAAGAAAAAAAAATTTCTAAAAGATAATAAGAAGCACTTCCATTAAAACAGTGTAACACTGGCATAAATAGATGAATACAAAAGAAAAGAATCCAGATTCTGGTATATTTTGGAACTTCGTATAAGGTGAAGGTGCCATTTCAAATTATCACAGAAAGAATGAGTGATAGTGATTGATTTATTATGTAGTCCTGGCATAACTATCTGTCCTCCTTAAATAAACAAAATGAGAACTCTATGTCACGTCGTATTAAAAAATAAATAAATAAATTCCAGATAGTAAAGCCAAAAGGTAAAAAATTAGTTTTAAAAAAAAAGTAGGAGAAAAATGCAAAATATTATTTGTATGAACTCAAGGTCAGAGTCTTTTTCTTTAAGCAAGATATGAAAGCCAAAAGAAATAGAATTATTTATTTTACTAACTAAAAATTTTAATTTCTGTATGGAAGAATGCTCCATAGATAAAAGTTTTGTGTGTGCAAATGTGTATATGACAACTTGAGCATATACATACAACCTCTATAAACTGATAAAGGACCAACAACCGATTATTAAAATTGGTACCAACTATGAAAAGCGAGATTTGAAACAGAAGATAAAATGGCAAACAGCCAGAAAACCTATGAAAAGAAGCCCAAGAATGTTTCATCAAGCATAGGTTTGGCAAAAACGTAAAACACAGATAACAACCAGTGCTTGTTGAAGGCATACGGACAAAGTGACATTACTTTTCATTGCGGGTAGGAAAATAAAAAGTAATTCGTTGGCATCTATTAAAAGGTAAAGTGTGCCATTTTGCGAGCAGTTCTATATTGGGGGATTTTTGGACAAAATGAAAGCATTGTATATAGAGACAGATGTGCAAGGATATTTATTGAAACATTGTTTGTAAGGGAAAAGGAACTGGAAACTACCTAAAGGTTCATCTGTGGGAGAATAGCCAAATAAATTATGGTACATCTATCCTATGGAATGACATACAGTTTTAAAGCAATCGTTACTTATATTTTCTTGATTTGAAAGACTATCCAGTATATTTTATTAAATGCCAAAAATGTTGAGTAATGTTTATTGTACAATCCATTTAAAATAATATATATTTAATATATATTACTATACTTTACATATTGCATATTTAATGTATAGCATATATTAAATATACAATAGTATAAAGTGTATACTTTTAAAAATATATACTATTTTATTAAATGTAAATATAGTGTAAAAATTTTAAGTCAAATAAAATGATATGAATTTTATGCTATATTTAATATATGCTATATATTAAAATAGTATCCATGTTTGTATATATGGATGGGTTTGTATTTATGAACTTAAATAAATATATAGAAAGGGACATACAAGCCATTAACAATTGTTATATGAAAAATGAAGAGCAGGAGAGGAAATTATTGTCTATTCTATGTTACTTTATTGTTTAACTTGGTAAAACAAACGTCCTTTTTCATTTAAAAAATCTAATAAAGATTGTGCAATGATAAGTGTAATTATACACGATATGACATTGGTAGTTTGGCTTTGAACATGTGTAATTACATTGTAAGAAAGGAGACCCAACATTACTGTATTTGGTCTGAGAAATCTTGACAGAAAACACAGTAAGTCTCACTTGATGGATGTGTCAATATTCTTTTATAAATCTACTTATAGTTTGGAGGTTTGGAATTTGCATTTCTTTTTCCAACTCAATAAAAATTATTCTGAGAAATAACTACTATGAAACCAGATTATGAAATAAATAATCCTAGACAAAAGATAACGATGTTTCATTGTTTAAAATGTTATGATCTTGCACTTTTACTCTTTGGAACTCCCCAATCTAAAGGTGAGGACCTTACTCTGGCTAGCCCAACCGTAACTACATCGAACACTGTCTTCTTTAAAAGTTGAGTTCTCTTCAACATACTTGCAATATATGCATCTGATACAAAGATTTTTTATTATTTTTCTTTTTTTATTTCAGAACGCTTTACCCAGTACAGCTCTAAAAACCTTAGACAAGCATGGAATAAGTAAGTCTTTATACAGATTCTGCTCGTTCTCCTTCTCTCTCTTAATATTGACAACTCTCCTGATAAGTTTGCTATGGCATTTTTTTTTCATTCATTCATTCTGTTGTCTATTCATTCATTTAACTATTAAGCTGTTATTAAACCCTAACTGTGTGCCAGCTGCCATGTTCATCCCGAGCCAACACTGTATGACCTTGGGTTCCTAGAACCAACACTCAGTATGAGTTTGGGTTCCTAGAGGAATGTGGCATTGCTTTAGGATTGTAAATCCTAAAATTCATTGTGGTCAATCTTCCTTAACTAAATTCCAAAAATATTTTAGTATCAGCAAAACAGCATTTATAAAATACAATATAGTGACTGACTTTCTAAACTAAATGATATTGGTGTCAACTTTTGAGCTAGATAAAATTAATCTTTCAAATGTTTTCATTTTACCTATTTTTCCCCTAAGCCTTATTGGGAAGCCAAGTACATTTATTGCTTGAAGCATATGTATTTCATTTATTTCTCTTCTATTCTCTCATCTGATCTTGTTGAAATAGTTTTATTTATTGGTTTTTAAAATTTCACAAAATCTGAAGATCTTGGTTTCGTAAGTTATTCGGGAATCTTTTATGGCAAGCCAACCTGTTAGTAAATTATTGGAAGCTGGAAAGCAGAGTAACTTTGAGTCATTCCTGTTTAGCTGTGAGCATCACATTTCAAGTATTATGCTGGGGAAAAGATAACTGAAACTGCTTTCATTAAACTATAATTCATCATAGCAAAACTTTGTCTATGTGGAATTTAGTGTTGCAATCTCACTTTTTACTGTTATGCCATGTTTAATTTTGGACACCATCAATTATAAAAATAGTAAATAACAAACACTTCACTTTTTGAAGTACCCTCATGTTAAAAATGCTTTTAATCAATGCTGTCATTAATGACATTGATTAATGTCATTGATTAATGACTGATTAATCAGCCTCATGGATGGCTGATTGTGAGGAACTTATGGAATAAATAAATAAATTCTGCAGTAGTCTATTTGGAGGATTTGGCAATTTATTTTTATTAAATTTGTACTTAGAAGAACAAATCGATACAATCATTTTTATCTAACACAGGGCTTTACATTTGCACTTTGAGGAGTCAGTTCTTAACCACTAGAGTCTCCTCGAGGCAGCACGTTCTCTGCTGGGAGCATTCTGTGTGGGTTCTTCACCTTTTATTTACCCCCTGACTGATCATTAGTCTAACATATTTTAATTAGGTGATTTTATTTACCAGGTAATATATACAGTGCACAGTCCCTACCTTAATTAAATGATCAAGCACATTCCTCTCTTATAATTGCATAAAAAGTTTCGTCTGACCAGGTAACCACTTCATAAAACAATTTTTGATAAAGCAGTTGAATCTCTAAGCCTACATTTGAACTAAAAGGAAAATCGTGCATTGCATAGCATCATTTGTGGGTAATAGATAATTACAGCTATAGAATTTATAACCAGAATTAATTCAAAGTCATTTAATAAACTGAGTCCCAGTCTTCGATTACTTTTTAAATATTTTAGGAGAAAATATTAAAAGTTGAGCTTGAGGTAAGATTTTTAATTTATGAACATGGCTTGTTGAGAATCATGCCATTTTTAAAGTTCCCATGCCATTCGTAAAGTCTTACATTTGCTGCCTTAGGGGTTTATTTTAGAAACACTAAGTAATAAAATTATCACTAAAAACATTCTTAAAATATTTCTTTCTGGTATCCACTATTAAGTGCCAAATCTTTAGAGCCAAACTAAGCTATAGCCCTTGGCCAATTCAAACCCAATGTAATTTAGAGAGAACTAAGAATTCAGATACATTAATTGTATTACTGAATCTTCCTCCAAATGGACCTTGCAACTATCATTGACATTCCAGCATCTCTCACTTCAGGAGTGAGGTCCAGATTCGACAGAACTGCATTAAAGGTCTATTAAACAAGTGCTGTTTTCTCCATTGCTGCTAATTTGCTTGTCTACAGCATAATTACTAAACTAAAGCAATTGGTACATTCTCTTGTACAGTGGTAACAGGTTCAAAATAAAGTGAACTAATTTGAGTCCAGTTTAGATGGGTTAATATAAGATGGGTGGGTTAATATATAAATGTAAGTCTCTGTTCAAAATTAAGTAACAATGCCATTAAAAATAGGTATCAATCCAGCTATTAAAGTTAGTGGACATATTAACTAAGAGAGGAAGAGTTTTTTAAGAAATGAATCCTTAAGTCTCTTCGAATAGTTGTAACAAGTGACCCAGTTTATTTTGAGGCCACGTGTGCCCTAGGTAACACCCATGTAATTCCCTGCTGGCTTCACTTATATCAGTAACCATGGGCATAATTTTTATCCTTTGAAAAAATTTTTAGTATTCTGGGAAAACAAAGCGGTGATAGGGGAAAAATATCAGAAGATTCAGTAGATATCCAAACTCAGAAGGTTACTATAAAGAAACAATCTTAATTATAGGATCGAGAATAATAAATATACATTAATACAGAAAAGAAAGTCCTTTTATTCCCTCATATTGGAAGTGAATGATCCATGTGGGCTTTCCTTACATAAAGGGAATTTTGGATTAAAAGGGAGACAAACCTAATTTTATAAAAACATGTACTGTTTTCTGACTTCCTTTAAAACATTCCATTTTATTTCATTGGAATTATAAAGACTTTCCCTATTTTCTCTTCCAAATCTCTCTATTTATAGTTGTCTGACATTGGCATGTATGTGCAATCAACCAAGAATTTCAGCCACTTAAAAGATCTTTTATTATTTTGGCTGGAGAAGAAGCCTTAGAATATGCTCTCCAGCAAAGTTAAGGGTAAGATTCCAGGAACACATTTGCTTGTTTTGGAACTTTTTAACAGCTGAACAATTTGGGAGGTTTGAAAGTATCAAAAAGAGAACTAAGGATAAACCACTAAGTTACAGAAGGCAGGTCTGGAAAACACAGCTCATGGCTGGTAAAGCGAAGTACGTCCACAGACTTGAGTGGGTGCAGGTTAACCTTCTCCTGCTTGGTGCCCCACATGCTCTTGTTCTGCTTCTGATCCTTCCATTGCTAAAGTACAACTGGATTTCACCCAAGAACTTAACAGAAATTGATATTTTAAAATGTGTAATAAATACAAAGACATTGCAGAAGCTACCTTTCTGGGAACACAAAAATAGAGAAGAAAACATTTACCTGCTATATTTGAATGTAGCAGCAGAGTCACAAACCCTAATTTTGAAGATTTAGAAATGTTTGCTAACTTTGTGTTGTTGAACTTTCCTTGAATATTTTATCTGACTCGATGTTTAAATCGTAAAACATATTTTAAAGATGACTTGCTGTATAGTTGTGTTAAGAATAAAACATAACGTACGTATTTAAAATAATATTTAGAGGACTACATAACTTTCACTCTGTGTATTTATGTCAGTGATGCTCTACTGTATTTTTCTTGTCATCATATCTGATGCATCCCACTAAGATTTAAATCAGAGCCTTCTCAAGAATCTGAAAGACCCTGTTTTGTAGAACTCTGTTCTAATTTAATCTGAATTCTCTAATGTAATGATATATTGCTAAGTAAGTTAGAGCTTTGAATTTCCTTGCCAGCTTAGAAATGTGGGAGGAAGGTAAGGACGCTGTCGTTTCGTTGCACTAGGAGGAGCAGTTGAGTTGAGTCAGACCTGTGTCAGCTTTCTCCACTTGCACATTTTTTTCATTGTTGATCATTTCTTTTATAATTCTGTTTACATCAAAGTAACAGATTTAATTTGTTTAGTGCCTGGAGACTTCTTCTTATAATATTTTCAAGGAAATTATTCTACACCTCATCAATTCACTTTGTTGGGAATGGATTTACTGGGGCGATAAGCTCTAAAGCAGACACTAAAACAGACATTTTGGAATTCCAGCCTCTCGACTCACAGGGTGAGCTACAGTGGTCGACTGCCCAGCTGCACAGAGTTGAGTTCAGCATGGGGCATAGTTCCTCACCACACTCTGCACCCTTGAAAATGTGCTGTTTTTAACACATGGATTATCCGATCTAAGCAGGTCTCTTATCCTGACCTTGGACACCCATACATGGCACTGTTTGGAGGCCCCAAAGGCTCACCTGCTTGTTTGAAAGTTCCAGTTCAGAGCAGTTTCTGGAGATATTTGTTTTCATGAGAACGAATCATTAGTTCAGTTACTGAAAGCTTTATGTGGGTGTGATGTTTATTAGACCCACTAAACCCCTTGCCTCCTAATGGAGAACAGCTCTCCTAGGAAACTGCATATTGGATTCTTGACAAGGGAAAAGAGGAAGACTTAAACTAGGAGATGCTTTCTAGGCCCTGGTGGGAGTCTTAGAGAGCCTCAAAGAATACAGAATAAAGGTCTGTCCAAAGATACAGGTTGGTAGCAGTGCCATGAGGACAAAGAGGAAGCTATCTGAGAAAAAAGCGGTAGAATTGCCAAAGGCCTAGCCCTGACCACTAGAAGACGTGATAACATAAATGTGAAGACATGAAACACACCTAGTCAAAGGCCCAACATTCCCTCATTGCTCCATGGCTATAATTGTGATGGAGGTAATAGCGGTGATTAATGTTTGGACAGCCTTTTGCATTATAGAATTTGTTTTCATGTGTATTCTCATATTCTCACATATCCGTATAGCATTCTTTAGCTATAGGGCAGACATTATCATCTCCATATTATAGCTTAAAATAAAAAACATTCAGTAAGGTCAAATGACTAATGCAATTAAAAATTACAACTTGGAATGTATGCCCCACAGTGAATCTTGTGAAAGGCTAATATTACCAGTTTTAAAGCCCTGATATTCATGTGGGCTTATCCATATCAGATTTTATTTTGTTCTCACTTGGGATGGGGATATCTCTTCTGGGAAGTGATGTCACTCCCAGCATAGGTTTTGTGCAGCAGGAGAGCAGGGACAGAGTGGAAGCCTGACCTTATCCTGGG